TCCTTCATGCATTACTACACCATTTATCCGATTGCCATGAAACTTTGGGAAGTTGTTTAATATACTCCTGCAAAAGTTTCTGGCATAGTACATTTATCCTACAATAGATGGCATGCGTGTATACGAACATTTCATCATGAGCATTTCAACATGGTTAGGAGTTGAAACTTGAAATTTGGTACACAGTTTAGGGTACATCACGAGAACACACATTAACAAGGGATTTTTTGAAATTCCCCCGCGGGGAAAGGAACAGGCTTCAACAATGGAAGTGTTAAGAGAAAGCAATGTGCAAGATTTACAGGCGCAGATGCGGTTTTTTCACATTAAATTGAACATAATTTTAGATCCATCTAAAAATTTTCTAATTAGACTGGAAGAAACAGGGGGACCTAATTCTTGCATTCTGTGAAAACGGGTAAGATTGGCTGTAATAATCTTAATCTTTGCTATCGTTACTTTTTGCCCAAGCAACGCCAGGCTTATCTGCTAGTTTATTATAAAAATATTGTTTTTTTTTTTTTCCACAGAAAAAACAAAATTACTTTCCGAACAACCCAATATTTAACAACATTAAGAATTAAATCTAGAGAGGCTTGTTTTCCTTAAGCAGGAAATGACATCACAATTATTAATTTCTTGTTTTATATGCTATAAATGAGAGGAATAATAGTACTAATAATAATGCTAATGATGTGGTAAAATAATAAAATAATGTCACATAAAAAAACTAAACTAAAATTCCAAAGGTTCAAATCTATATCAACTAGCTCTAGAGCATTGTCTATTAAGCTGGAGTCACACTTACAGAAAAACACCACTGAAAATGTAAACTGAAAGCCAAAACCAGAAAAATTTTACGTCCCTCGCCCATAAAATTTCTGGAAAATCAACTCAAGAGGTGCTCAGTGGAAAATTTTTCTGCTCACGTAAAATGTAAAATGTTGACCAATCAGATCCCTGGGAGTAATGACATGTTTATAATGTCACCGACGTCACTGCTATGCTGCCCAAGGCTGAAAACAAGAAATCACGTGAGCTGCCCAGCTGTCATTTTGACATCTCCACTAATAGTTGCATTGCTGCTAGTAATGTGAACTGACATTCTAGACGGTGAAGAAGTTTGTTATTTTTTTTATTCTTTGTTTTTTTGTTTCACAATTTTACATGCAAAACACGGAATTCACACTGCACGGAAAATTACCATTACGGTATGTGACCTTTTTTTTCTTTAGTTAGTTATTGCCACTCCTGGACATGAAATTTCCAAATTCTTATAAGCTAAACACTAAATTTTCAGAGGCGACTTTTTTGGAAATGTTTGAAAAGTGACTCCTATTATTTGGATGAGGAGCCATTTGTGTTTAAGGATAGATGCTTACCAAGTTTCATTCAAATCAGAGACCTGAATTTCTGTCCCCCTCATTGTAAATGACAGCTTAACATGTTACTTTTGCTTTCCAGATGCTAAACTGATAAGGCTACCAGTACCTGAATTAATAAGTAAGTAAAACTGGTGGTGATAAACAATATGAGATGATGAAAAAAATTAAAAACTGGAAAAATTGTGGCAATATTTTAAAATTTTCCAGAGTGACACCTGACTGCTTAGCACCATACTTAAACAGAAAGAAACACAAACTGTTTAAGATAACCAAAACTTAAAAACTGGACAGAGACCACTGAATTATCTATACAAAACTTAAATGAAGAGCATTCCTATGACAGACAAGATCCAGAATAGCCATTTCACTATTCTGGTCCAGTCCAAACTTAAGAGCACTGCTCTTTCTAAAACAAATTACTGCCAGTATGCATACATGGTGACTGAATACTAGTCAGTTGGAAGTCTCTTGGAAGTCCACTTGAATGCTGGGAACAGATGTGTAGGTGGCCAAAGCCGTATTGTTTAATCCTATTTTGACAGATGTTTGATGTTTCTTGAGACAGACATGTAATGGGCAAGATGTAGCACCTATGTGTTGCAGGTGGTGGTTGTATCAATGGTCGATGATGGGGATGCGGTAGATGCCTGGGAGATGGTCCTTGTTGGAACGGTCTTTGGTGTTACAAAGTAGAGAGGATATAGCTGGACTTCTGCAGAATGCCAAATGATAATTGTTTTCTCTTGCTATTTCTTTGTATTTCTATCCCTCCCCTCACATCACACACCCCACCGCTTCATACATGTTTGGCAATCCCAGTGTTTTTTGCAGCAATTTGCTTGCCTGACTATGTAGTTTCTACTCTCTATTTTTTCTACTTACTCTAATTCTAATGTATTTTACCATTTAATTAATTAAAATCATCCATTTATTATGTGATGAAATAAAAAATAATACCATAAAATAATTTTAAAAATGCATTACCATTGACATTGGACTAATAGAAATTTGTGCAGGTTGAGATTTAACTGTAACATTCTGAGGAATTGCAGTGATTGGTACAGCAGTCTGAAATAAAAAAAAACCAACAAATTTAAAATACTTTGAAATTATTAAAAACTGTAACAATTCACTAATTGTTTAATTAAATATATTTAATACTAATTGAAATATTTTTCTATTAAACTGATTATTAATTAAATGTTATTCATATGAAATTCATGCCTTTACTATCAAAGATGTATCCAATTACAAGTATAAGAATCAGGGCTGTGGAGTCGCGTAAAAATCTACCGACTCCAACTCCAACCAGGGGCGGACTTGCTACCGAAAGAGACCCAGAAATTCTGATGTCATCATGTGACCTTAGAATAAAAGGCTCAATAAATAGAGTTCTAATAAAGATAGAACATAGAAACTTTTTATTCCAAAGCTAAAAGACTTCTCTAAGTAATATATAAATATGTATTCGATAATTTTTACTTTTCCGGCTGTTATATATAACAGAGCAAAGTGTAGCGCTCGGTCAAAAAATGACCCCTCCCGAATTTTTACATTTTTGGACTAAGGACACCTTGAAATTTCGAGATATGCAAAAGATTCGAAGTTTTTTTCTATATGTGTGGATGTTAGACTGTGTGGGGGGGCATGATTTTGTTCACCCTGTCTGATGAAACCTAATAATTTCTGTGGTCAGAGTGGTCAGAGTCAGAGTCGAATGGTTTAACACAAGAGTTAGTCATTAAGCATCAAAGTGGTTGAACTAAATCATGTCCCCATATACATTCTAATGTCTTAGGTGAGAACATCTTAACGGGTTTTACTGTACTATTATAAAATGGCAAAAAAGCTTACTTTGAGGGTAGAGACGAGTTTTGTTTTGTTTTATTTTTTAAATTTTAAACGCTAATAACTAGTAAAATATTCATTAAGAGATATGACACATGACCACTTTTATGTCTTCACCCTGTCGACCTTTAATTAAGAACCAAAATTTAATACTATTAATGCCCCTTTATACGCAAACTACAGTGCCACATTTCATTTCTTAAACTTTACCCATTCTGAGATATTGTTTTGTATCTCAGAACAGAAAATAAAGAAATTAAACAAATTAGATGCCAACACACATATGCGTGCAAATTTTTCCCCTTTATTGACTTTTTTGGGGGTTCAGGAGGTCTCCAAACATGTAGATTTGCAAAAAAAACTTGGAGGGTCAAATTTGACACAATTTCAATACTTTTCCATTTTATATACATAACAAGTTGGTAAGTAAAAAGGAGTCAGAGTCAGCGGATATTTTGACGACTCCGACTAAAACACCAAAAATTCCACGACTCTGACTCCACAGCCCTGATAAGAATGGTTCAACTGTTTACTATATAACAATTTCAGCCCTATTGATAAGACTGCTTCAAGTAGACCATTCATCAAAACTACAGTTCAAATGCAGGAGTGTTCCAATTCAAACAACATTAAATTTAATTTTATAATTTAACAGCCAATGACCAGTCACAAAATGTAAATGAAATTACAAATTAGCACTAAAATACATAAAACTAATTTGTTCAATCAATCCTCAGTATTCTGTGTAATGTGTAACATTTCGCAATATATAACACTTTATTTTTAAATTGCTTGGTCAACTTTCAAAAAAATTTTATAAAAACAAATAAAGCAAATATACGAAATTCACCTGTACTTTATTTGTTGTTATTATTGTTTGTCCATTTGTTTGTGCATTTACAGTCGATAATGCCGTCTGCTTATCTTCTGCTTGAGGTTGTTGTTGTCCCTGCTGTTGTAATTGAGCAGTAGTCAGTTGAGGTGTCATTTGGACAAGATTTGTTGCTTGGCTAGATGCAACAATAGGATGTGCAATCAACTAAAACAAATTAGTAAAAATTCATTTTGTAATTATTATATTAATTGATTTATATAGAAATAACATTTAATTCTTCTAGCTATGATTAAACTAAATTCAAATTAATAACTAATAAAATGATTTTGGTTAATAAATTTATTAAATAATTACATAAGTTTTAACAACATTGGAAGGCATTTCATCATCTTTAATTAATTTTAATAATTAAATATTTATTAATTTAAATTTGTAATTATGTAAATAGTTTTAAATGTACTCAAATCAAATACAGGCAATGCTCAAATAATTCAAACAAGTTTTGAAACCAATATTCTAGATTTTGATGGTTCGTGGAGTTTGATATCTGATGACAGATTATTGAAAAAGTCACATTAGCTGAAAAAGTTTGTACTGTATATATATAGTCAATTAAAGGCTTAGTTTCTCATATTAATTTCATTCAAATAATTTATAAACAACTGATCACAATTCTCATAAACTAGTAGACATAACTGCTTATTTTTCATTTTCTTTTTATAAAAAGCAATACAGCAAAGTACTAGTTATTACTGATAGAGATAAACAAGTTTTGTACTACTACTATTATCTCGTGCATTGCCTTTAAGTCAGTTTGTTTTCAGTACATTACACTTGTTTATAAACAAATAAAATTATTAATTATTGAAGCTAATGGCAGAAGAAAATATACCTACTTAAATGATCAATTTATCCAATCGTTAATAAGATTATTCAAAATCATTTTAATTAAAACAGATTTAGTATGGAGATTCCAGTAATTACTAATTTATAACTGATTCAAATAATTAATAAACAATTTAAATGTTATAATAATCTTTATTGATCTACAAGTTTAAATTGAAGTAAATTAAATTTAACTCTAGTAAAATTTACAAGTTACATACATTTCACAAGCACTTTCAACAGATTACAACTGTCTAAAGTACTTATGAAAAATTTGTAGAAGTTTAAATCAGAACAAAATATAAAAATTTTTTAATTAATTAAATTTATTTTTTTGAAAAAACTTTATTGCATAAACAACAACAACAAAAATTCTTGGAAATAAATGACAAACCTGAGGTCCTATAGCTACCAACTGTCCTGCAGCATTAGTATAAAATTGCGGCAATGCAGTAACCTGTCCTCCAATTCCAGTAAAATTTCCAGTAGTAAGCATCGGTTGAGGTTGTACAGTATTTGCTGAAAATATAATAGGGTGATTACAATTCTTAACTTAAAAAAAAAAAATACTATATATGTAGTATTTTTATACACACTTGCTGTGTTGGGGGCAGAAACTGCAGGTAACGAAGCAGGTTGAGATAATGCTTGAAGATTTGCCATTGTAGTTGTAAATATCTGGCCATTCGAAGCAACTAACTGAACTGTTTGGTTACCAGACAATTGAGTTACAGGGATGGTGATTATCTGTTGAGTAGCTACACCTGCAAAATTATACTGAGTTTTATACATTTTAAACTAAAATAATGATGTATTGATACAGTAATGATGTTATCAGCCTGTTTGAATAAAAACTGTTATAATTATACTATCGTTTGTATATGTGCAATATTGTTGATGTTGTATGTGTGTCTTTTGGTTGAGGTTGCACAGTATTTGCTGAACTTCACAGTTTACTGAATTAAGAAGCAGACAAATAGACAAACTTTTCATATATACATTCTGTAACATATTTCAAAGTAGTTGATAATTTAAATGATGCTGGAAACTATCACACGTCTAGAAAAATGATTTACAGATTAAAATTATACATTACACTCTTAAAGCTGGAAAATAGACAAGCTGTATGGTTTACTGTAGCTATGGACATGATCCTAATAAATATATATAAACTACATCATGACAGTAATGTGAAACCTCAATCTATTATTTTTGGCAAAACTTGAGGGGAAAAAATGACTAATGTGGGAAAATGATTGACATGGGAAATTTATCATGTCAAAGTTTTTATTGTTTATCTCGTACGAAACATGTATTTTCCAGTGATACACACATTTGATAGTTTTCTGTAATACTAAATGATATAACACTTGCACACAAACGTGTGTTATTCTACATTTTAAAAAATTGTTAAGAATACTGTAATTTGTTCTATTTTCTTTTGATAAGAATACCTAACGTATTGATATATCAGATGCAGCCAATTAGAAAAATTCAATATTCTGTAAAAATGCATTACTTATATAGTAAACAACAATAGTATAATGTGTGCATTCGCCACTACTAATAAATCTAAAGACATCTATGTCAACATAAAAGATTATGTGGAAAAGTGCATTTCTAATTTTTCAGATAACTAGTTCAAAATACATTTTTGTATGTCACAATCTTTATTTTAAAGTATGTAATATGCATATAATTTGTGATGGCAGCCTTCTTAACTTCTGTTTTCAGCACTTGGAATCTCACTGCACTAGTGCTGCAGTGGCTAACTTAAAGCAGAAATAGCTTAACTGTCTTTTAATAAAGTGGTTTTAAACAGTTTTAGCAGAAAACATGCCCAATGTGTACAATAAACTAAAATACATTTAATTGCTATGTAAATAATCGCAACAATTATCCAAGAAAATACAATAATCTGTCTGTCTTTTGGCATGATTACAATATTATTATACAGTACTGTATTTTATTACCCTATTAGATAATTACAGTATATTAAGGGAAGCTATTTGGGAAATTAGTTTAGTTACGAAATTATCTGTAACTTCTTAACTTTTTTTTAACTTTTAAATATGGAGAGTTTTTATCATCATCAATAGTACATGAAAATCAGTATCTCAATTTAGCTCCCTCTATTGTGGATAGAACAACTGATTCAGGCTAATATTTTTCTTTTAGTTAAAATACAGAATGAACATAATCTTGATCTAAGGTTAACGAAATCAAATTATAATATTCTCTTTTGTTCATATGAAATAACTAAGACTGTTTAAATAAACATTAACTGATTCATTACATAAAAGATATATTGATAGCTGGTATACAATAGAAGTGCCTTACTTGATAGTTACTTTCTGTGAAATTTTTTAAAAAATACTTTTAAACCTAAAAATGCTTAATTTAATCAATTAAATTATTTTAAAATGGTAATAAATTAACTAATTTATTTATTTATTAAATAGTTCTTTTGAGAATGCTTATATAATTCTTTTTAAATGATAATCCTTTAATACATAGAAATGTGAAAACAATCAATGACAAAAATTCTTATTGTTTCTGTGAGTTGATACATATAATAAATTAAAAATCAGTTACAGCAGTGAACAAATTAAAAAGAATATGTTCAAAAGTGAATTTGTGATCAATGTACCTGTAAGAAAATATTCTTGATGGAATGTGCAAAATGAACATGAAGTTTTTGAAAAATGTTTACGTATGTTCAAATGATTTTGAAATTCTACATGTTGTACATTTAGATTTTGTCCATATTTCCCAAAGATTAATCTATAACTGGCTCCACACATTTGGTATTCACCAATTGATGAATAATAGTCTATTCATCATCTTTTATTTGGTACAATATACTGATAAGGAGTGGAAATGATAAATACTGAATATTAGTCACAAGTAAATCATCCACACTACTCAGTCAAATATTTGTTTGTCTTTCAGTGAATACTGAATGTGTGGAGCTGCCTTAATAAATATGAAAATATTAGAAAAGCTGTTTTGCCTTGTGTTTTCATTATTTGGACTCCAACAGAACAGTTATTTTATGTCTAATACAAATTTTTGGAGTATTGTTACAGTAGTTTGTTATTTTATAAAGTAGCATTTTCTATCATAAGAACATCTTTCCTTACATGAAATTAAATAAAATATGAATTATAAAATAGAAAAAAATCTAATAATAAAACTTTTACTTTGAACAAAATTCTTTTTAAATTTCACTTTATTTAAATTATTATAATAGTATTATCTTCCTCAAAGCATCTTTAGTGTATTATTGTAATGTTTTACTATTAATCAACATTTATTATGGATTTTCAAAATAGACTATTACCAGAAGATGTTGGAATTAAAAGCTGAGCACCTTGGATACCTTGAATAGGCTGTCCAGCAGCCAAAATAAATTGAGGTGTTGTTGCTATCTGAGGCTGAGGTATTCCCTGAGTGGCTATTTGAGGAGGAACCTAAAATAATAAAAATAAAATTTTTAAAACTTAAAAACAAAAAATCTCCCTCTCTAATTTTGGAATAATATTAATATAAATTATAGGATTCAAATTATTACAGTAAATTATTATTTTTTTCTTGTTCAACTATTTACTAATTTCATCATCATAATCAAGATAAGTTTTATTGAAAGAATCGTATGATCTCAGAGAATGTGTTACTGTGTCATATGATATAACTTTGTTTGAAGAATGTTTTCATACATGCCACCACAATTATAAAATAAACCAAAGCCTGATTTGGTAGTAGCAATTGTATATAGATCACTCTTGGCAATTAATAAACTGCCAAAGTTGCATTATTAATGAAAATTAAAAATTACAATACCAGAATAATACAATCGTATTGTTCTGGTAAAATAAAATAAAAATATATCATTAAATATCTACAAAAGATTCTCTCATTATATATAAAAGAATAAAAATCACTATAAACTAAAACTTTGGAGTTATTATTTATACTATTAAAATTACAGATACCAAATTATAAAATATAAAACAATAAATTTAATAGTAAGTACAGAATTGATAGTAAGAAACATGCCTGCTGTACTGTTGTTTGTCCATTTGCAGCCATTATGTTCCCGGCATTACTATTTGTGATGACCGTAGTCGTACCGTTGCTGCCGACCGCATTCTGTCCCGACATGGAAACAGAAGACTGAACCATCTGAGGTGCCGCTATCTGACCAACCACACCCAATCCCGGCAGGGTAGTTAGTGCCGTCAAATGAGGAATTCCACTCAGACCCATCATTCCAGCTAGTGGAGTGGCAACTGCCGTGCCAGCTGGTATTAAGGGTGGGAGCGGAGTTGATCCTATTGGAGCACTGTTGACTTTAGTTGCCTGAATTGTATTTTGTACTGTAGCAGATGCTGAAAAATCATATAGTTAATTTAATATGTAAATTAAGTTATGTAAAGCCTAAAATTTTAATTAAAAATTTACTTTAAAAAAAGTGTCTTATAGGTCACACCTCATAAGTAAACTGCGAAGTTTAAAGTCAAACATCATCGTTTTAATGTTCCAATTTGGAAGTCAGTTTAGTTCATTACCTGAAGCAGGCCTTGGTGAAGGCCAAAAATGTTCGAAAGTTACGTTAAAGTTCAATTACTGGTTTAAAAAAATTTTGTTTGCGATTGTTTATTTCTCACTCCAATATTTTTGAGAATACGACTTGTATTTGGAATGATTAGATCAGCTGTCCTCTGCATGCAGCAGGACGATAATCACATCAAACATATCATCTGAACAGCAATTTTGCCTATGAGCATGACTTATGGAACACCCAGTATATGTATAAATTTTTTATTTTACATTCAATTATCTCATTTCTGTTTAAACTCAGTAATACATATTCCTCATCTAAGATAAACAACAACAGATATATATTGAAGGACTGACAGAGATGATATCAAAAAGTGCATCGAATTCCATGGAAATATTTTTTAAAATGTTGCCATGCTCCAGAGTGATTAATGTATGGGCAAAATCAGCCTAAATTTGTTTTGACTCATCATCATAGAATTATATTCATATATAATATAGAAAATAAAAGCACACAGAAGATACCATTTATTGTAATCAAGGATATTGCTATCGATCATCTAATATTATCACAAGCAACAAGTGCCTAAAACATGTCAATTAAACAACATTACAAAACTTTTGCTTATTGTACAGATTTGCTTATAATTAAACAATTGCACAATAAATCTTTACGCCAGCAAACAAAGTTATATTATGTTGAAATTTTCAACCATATTTAATGTAACTTTGTTTGCTGGGGTAAAGATTTATTTTGTAATACAGTAGAACCTCGATTATCCGGACTAATTGGGGATGAAGGTAATCCGGATAATCGAAACAAATACTTTAATTTGTCTTTTAATGATAATACAACACGTTTTCTTTTCGATGACATATCGGTAATATTAAAAATAAATACTGTATTTATATCGTGATCAAATTTTGAAGAAACAAATGTTTGTATTGAATTTGGACTACTACTGACCAGCACTAACAGACTACGTATTGTTTAAAAGGCCCTCTGGCGGCTCAAGAATACGGATTTTATAAAATAAAAAGCAGTTGAAACTGCATTTTTATGAATAAAAATTTGACAAACTATTTATCGTTTTATGACGTGTAAAATTTTTTCGCCGCATTCGTGGCTTTTAAGTAATGCATAAACCTTCGAGGCGCGAGGCCCTTCAAACCGCGAGGCATAGGTGGTGGCTCACATCGTCCATGCCTTACGCCGCCCTTGGTCATAGAAATGATGTAATTTGAATATAAATTATTTATAAATACGTATGTCAAGTTATATTTTTATTACTACGTAAAATATATTTAAGAGT